TTTTCTTAGATTTACATGAATACATCTTGCACATTAGCTAATTAAGAAAGTCAAAGATTCACATCAACCTCTTTTTATACACATTGCAAGTTACTATTATTAAAATACTGATGTAAAAAGTGTATTTTTTGAAGTAACATACAATGAACAATATTTTAAAACTGAAAATTGTCATTTTAATGCTGCTATGAAATTACAAGATAGAAATAGAAACCAAGGAAGCAATGTTGAGTAACAAAAAACCCTTAAGTACTCCTTCAAAATCATAAAAAAGAGCATATGAAGTAAAAAAGCAATCTCCAGCATTCTTACATGTTTTTGAACATATTTCTGCTCCAAACAGTAAAGCAATCTTCACATCTATTGGTTGCTTGAATTGGAAATATAGTAATTCAAACAAGATTTTTTTGAATCTTTTTTTGAAGTAAATGTAGGTTTAGAGTTTTAAAGAGATGCCCTTTTCATAGAAACTGAACTGATAATGCAATACCTAAAGGAATATTATTTACAGAAAAATAAATGAGAAATGCTTTCTTATTTTGTTAGAAGGTGTATAAAAATAATGCTCCTACCTTAGTCAAAGATGCTTGCTTCTGACTGACTGGAACAATTTTACTTGCATTCTAGTAAACTCTTGAACAGTAATCCTGTTATGTGTCTACAGCAGTTTCATAGGGGTGGGACTTGTGTAATAATGAATTCACCAGGGAATCTTCCTGTTCAGAGAACACTGCTGCAGACAAGGAAAAACCACTCTACATTTGCTGTCACAAGCTTTTGGATGATTAGGTTAAGATGCTGGGAGCAAGTACATGTACATACATATAGTGATGCAAAATCAAGTATTTTGTATATAGTAACACTGACAAATATGTTGAAAAATGCATTATGCTTTACAGGGGAACGTGTGCATATGTGTATATACACACAAAGTAAATTAGAAAATTGTTCCTCTAGTCTGTATGGATGTGATATACCAACATGACTGGCGTGATTAGTATTTCTAACCATTTAATCTGAGAAGCAGAATCTAAAAATCATACTTTCAAATGCAAATTCACACTTTAAAACTTATTTTAATATTTCTTAATCCTAAATGATGAGCTGCATGAAAAGCAGATGCACATCCGCCCACTGGCAATCACCATTTCCTCCTGTACAGTGGCAGCACAGATCTAATGAAGAAAACCTATACTGGGTTATGGTTATTATTATTAAGATTTAAGATTAAGATCTATGAGCAAGTAACTGTGGAGAGTAGGTGTGGTCAATTAGAACAGACGACAAACATGTGAGAGCAGACGTATATGACTGCTGAGAGAGAGATGTATCTGGCAAGGTTACAGCAGTGAATGTGACAAAGGTCCCAGTATTCAGTGGCCCACTTTAGTGAAGCTCTAAGTAAAAACGTCATATGAACCCATTATGGACTAAATGACCATATCTGTCTTTATTAAGTTAAAATCATCTAACATTTCTCTCATCTCATTTACAGATTACAACAGCTACAAAAGCAAAACAAAGCAAAATTTATGTATAGATGCAACAACAATGCAAAACAAGTTAAGAATTGGACTTGGATAGATTTTAATACACCCAAATTAAAACCAATCCCCATCCACAACCTTTGCTAATGTCTAAATCAGGAAAACCTCTAAATAACATAATATAAATACATTAAAGTTGCCTACATAACTCTAGATTCATACGTATTCATAGATGTTTGGTGGATGATAAGGTTCAGAGTTTTACCAAATAGCTCTTTCAAAGTGTGGAGGTGGACCAGAAAATAGCTTTCCATAAAACCTTCAAGTGCCCATCATAGTTTTCTTGTTTATTGCATCACAACAGGTACTAACAAACATACCCTTCTTCTGTATCAATTCCTCTGGTACAATATTCATTCAAGGTGCAGAAAACAAATTCAGCTCCCCTGCCTTCAACTCCAACTTCCCAGCTCTGTGCAAGTGCCCTTAACATCAAGGTCACGAAGAGGTCTGAGTATCTACCACATCATCTTTTGAAACTGTCCAAACAGATTCAAGTAGCTCAGATTCTTGAGTTTTAAGACAAACCAAAAGAATAAACCACATACTAGAACGTTTGAATGTGACCATAAGCTTAATAGCAGGTAAGGACCTTACCTAGAGGTAGAGTTGAATTTTGAGGATTTTATTTCAAGAGAAGTGGAAGGAATTTACAGTTACTTTAATCATAAAGCAAAAATTGAAGAAGGAGCAGGGAAGGAAGAGAACATACTGAGCTATGTCAGAAGTCAGAACAGAGTAAAAGGAATATTTTGTTCCCACCCTTAGAGCAGATTAGATGACATGGAAGGGGTTTAAGTTGTAGGAAGACTTTTTCCAATACATATTTGTGGATCCACCAGTAATGACAGACTCTGTGGTCTGTCTGTAGCTTGGCAGAAAACCTTTAAGAACAGATTGAACAAAACAATCACAAACAATCTGGGTGCAATTGGTTTTACATTCTACACAGAGGTTTCAGTAAAAGTTTGTGTACTTAGCATGCAACAATAAAGAACGCATAAAATTATTTTCAATAAAAATAAAGTATAGAATATTTTTAACTAGTTAAAAAAGTTCCAAAGAAACATCTGTATGAGTATCACGCTGCTGATAAGCTTAAGATAAAGTGATAAACAGGTGTCATATTGCTTTTAATATCCTTGCTTCATTTATTCAGAAGCATTTACCTTCACTTTGAAATAGTTAAAAATGAAGCTTACCTAAATTAACCTTGTTCTTTTCTCAATTGTATGTAGAAACCTGGACTCAGACTGACTCCCATAGATCTATTCCCATAGCTCTGGGAAAAAAATCTTCATGTCAGGTACAGTACTTTTATTCTGCTCTTTGTACAAAGATGTAATTGCACTCCAGTAGATCCTAGAACTTAATTATTTTGACTTAACAGACTGATTTTAGTTAAGACCTTCTTTTATTGATCTACTATACAGTTGAAATGTTATTTCACCTTCTGGCTTGTGCAGTGCTTGTATTAAATTACTGTCCAACTGTTTTTCATCTACTTTACAGATTACTTTGTAGAAAAAGTGATCCCAGACAGCACAGGCATTGTCTTTTAAGGAAAAAAAAATGCGGTCTCTTTGTTACTGTTGTATATCCAAATTCTCAGTCACGTTTTTTGTCTTTGTTATTAGTCAGTAAAGGATACAAGTCCCCTCTATAGCTGTTTGTTGAATGCATTAAATTGTAGCACTTTGTAAGTGGAATGTTTCCTTAGAGAAAATTAAATTTCATAAAACACATTTTTTTGCAATCAGAGATTTGATTTACAGGTACTGTATTGGAGAAAAGTAACCACTGTTTAGCTATATCTGCACAGCATCAAACCAATCAATGCTTCAGTGAATGACACAAAGCACTTCAGTTACTGGAAAGTGCATTTAATCAAGAAGCTGTAAAGAGAGACTCCTGCTGTCAGAAGCAAATTCAAATACAGTTGTCATTCAGTAGCATTTAACAACACCAAAGATAACGCAGGAGAAGGCTTATCTGCTCTTTTCCCCTTATCTGTCAGGAGAGGAGCTGAATATGCATCTATAGAAAACATGCAAGATGTTTGACAGTTTCCTTTACTTTTCCAAGCTGAAGTACAGACAATGTGAGAGACTCACACCCTAGACTAAGCTCCTGTGGACTCTAAATAAAATATTGACCAACCAAAAAACACACCAAAATATTGGTGTGTTTTCTGTCGCTCCACTTTGACTATGTATAGACCCCATAAAGTCTATCAGTAGGAAGACAGCAGAACTCTCTCCACTTCCCTGGGAAAGAGTGCTGGTATTTGTGAGGAGCCCACTTCAGATTTCCTTGTTGCAAGGGCTCTCAAAAAGTAACTTAGAGGAGTCTGTACAGTCACCTTGGTGTTTCTAACTAATGAGATTGCAGAACCTCACTTGAGTCTTCTTGAAAGTGCTTATTCAAAAAAATAAAAATCTTGTTCTACAGCAGAAGTACCTTAAAAAAAAAGAGGATATTTTCTCTGCAGAAGTTTGGCTACATAGAATGCTAAGCCTAACTAATGAAGTCTGTAAGGAACAGAAAGAATCACAGAATCATTTAGGTTGGAAAAGACCTGAGATCATCTGGTCCAACCTTCAACCCAGCACTGCCAAGTCCACCATAAACCAAGTCACTAAGCTCTATATCTGTACTTTTTTTTCTTTGAAGACCTCCAGGGATGGTGATGTAACTACTTTCCTAGGCAGCTTGTTATATTAACTGTTACCATAAACATGTTTTCTGTTAAAAACAATTTCAGAAAGTCATAATTATAGGAAGGAAAATAAAGGGACTGCAAGACAGGTGTATTCACTACACGTACACTGGAATACATTAAAGATTTATAACAGTATTATACAGGGAAACATTTAATACCACTGTGCATATTTACTCTGTTCAGAGGAATCTTTTTTTTTAAATTAAAAACTATACTCTGCTGACTTGGTCTTACTTTAAGAAAAGAGGCTGCAGATAGTTATATAGAAGCTGCTGCAGAGAAAGCTAGCATATACTTCAGTATTTTACAGATGACTTACACAATTGTGTATGAGTATTAGTTACTACCAGTCTAAGATTCTTAGAAATTTCCTCAAGTTAAAGACACACTCTGCTTTCTACAGCATTTTTCTGGAGATGCATCACTGCACTAGCATGCTGCTGAACACAAACCACTTCCTCAACATTTATTATGCAGTTTTTAAGCCAAAATTTCGCAGTGTAAATACAACCCTTAACGCATGCCTGTTGCTATGATCAGTTCTTTTACAGCTCACAGATGAGATTGCTTATGCATATTTCTGAGGACACCCATTTTTCCTATTGACAAAAAAGTTGCTTTAAACTTTTTGCCCTGCATGCGTGGGTAGTACTTCCTCTCTACTGATCACATGTAGTACTTCAAGGGCAGCATCAGTTTTTGCCAGCACCAAGAACATTGCACTGGCATTCTATTTGTATTGCAAAAATAAAAATTAACACCCTTTCTGAAAACTACGGACTAAAATGGAAGCCACACGATACTTTACTGAAACTTCTTTCTACAGAGGAGTTTAGTCTCTAGTGTCATTAGAGGAAATTCAAAATCTTCTGTTTAACTAAAAAAGGCATAATATATCTATAATATGGCTCAATAGTCATTAAAATGAAGGACAGCTTTTCTTCTTTTAAGTGTGAATTGCCATAGAAATCATCTTTTTCTACCAACCCAAAGGAAAGCACATTAGGTGTCAGACTAGTAGAAAAATAACAGAACACTGCTGTCTTAAATAGCACAATGCAATAATATAATAGATAAAATATGGAAGAGTTAGAAATCTTTACTTATTAAGAACTCTGAATTTGAGTCGTTAAGTTACTTATGTTATTTGCACAAAGCTGACATTTAGTTACACTGGATTTATTTTCTTTTATTATAATCACTCAACATTTCAACACAGAACCACTTTGCTTCTCTTGGCACTAAGGAGGATCACCTTCAAAATGTTCCAAAAGTAGCTTCCAGGAAATCATCCTTACTACCGCAATCTACATAGTACATTCTGGTGAATAAAGTAGGAAAGGAAAAACACAACAGGGAATGCTAAATCTCATGTTTACTTCTATTTTTTTGCAGCTATTTCTAAATTAGAACATAAACCAGAACAGCTGAAAACTGCCAGGTACAGAAAAAAACAATTTCATATATAGAAGTATTTTTTAAAAACCAGTGTTAGACAAAAACTTATTTCAGAACATTTACAAGTCTAGAAATTAAAACTTTTAGTAGTGGAGACTCCAGATCAAAGGATACAATTTAGATAGGCATCAGAACCTAGATTTCCTGTTTTCCTTTCATCAAGGCTGATGAGCCTAGACTAAGATTTTTTTCAGGCAAGAGGCACTGAATATAGTAAGAGGGATCTGTCACAGCCACAAATCAAGGTTTGGGAGGTTCAAAGTGGAATTTAGAAAAAAGGCTGCCTCCAAAAGATGTGTCTGGTGGAACACTGGAGCAGGTTATCCAAGGACACTGCATAGTTCCCATCCTTGAAGTTTTCAAGCCTGCTGGATAAAGAATCCTATTCAAGCAAGCATGTTCAACTAGACAACTAGATTACCTCCAGAAGGTTCTTCCATTTTTTTTTAATTATTATTTTTTTTGTCTGATCTAATTCTTCAGGTGAGAAAAGCTAACTCAAATGAGTTTGAGACATACACTTTACAGACTACAGCTCTATCTGATCAAGAATAGAGTCAGCCAAGACATACCACCCTTTCCGCAAAGGAGAAAAAAGTGTTTTCAGGCTGTTTCTTTCCCAGTTTACATTTCTGAGGTGATAATCACTAAAAATCTTTGCTGAGTTACACAATATCTAGATACACATCATGATACAGAGTGTAGATTGAAGTCCAGGTCATCTAGCAAGATGAATCTTCAGACAGAAGTAGGGGAAAAACAAACCAGATATAATGTGGAAAGATAGGCTCTCCTGAGTTTAATTTGTCTATCTTTTTTTCTGAAGTTCCACTTCTCATACATCTGCAGTCAGTATAACTAAAGATGAAGAACTAATTATTGAATAAAATCATGACCCCATAATACTGACAAAGGTCTTGTTACTAATTTGAATGGCTCCAGGTTTTCAGCCATCATGCTACAAACTAAGTACTTATTTTTAAAGAAAAAAAAACACCACCTCATCCTTCCCCTCCTCCAAAAAAAAGGAACAACACCTGAGACACAGGTAAACTGAATAGTTATCTCATGGATTAAATTTAAACCCACATGTAACCACTGTGGCTGAAGTAAGAGCAGACTACAATTTTTCTATCATGCTTCAAAGACAATGGAAAGTGTTCCTCACACTTGATAGTGCAGAAGTTACTGCATTTCTCATGAACAACTAAGTAGATTATAAATACTTTCAATTTGATATTCATAGACTAATGTTAAAATACTGTAACATTTCTGAGTTTCCTGTTTCCCATGACTTCCATCTCAAATCTTTCTAGGGACCTTTCAGAAGGGGATTTTTTTCCCCACCTCTCCCGGTTTCTGTGAAAATGAACAAAACCAAAAGCAGATTTAAGACTGGTATTTAGAGACTATTCTGTTGTTCTTCCATTCCTTTACTCCTTCTCCCCTCTTTTTCCCACGCTAATTTGGGAATTAGCTTCATCTTTTCATATTTAGATGAACTGTTTTGCCTTGCTTATAAGTCAAGATTTAACAAATATTTTGAGAGCTTCATACAGAAATGGTAAGTTACAGTGGCCTGAATTACTTGCTTTTAGTTGCCTTACTTGTCTTTAGTTGCTTTAGTTGTGTAACTGATAAAGTAGTATTTTTCCAGTGTGCTACAACAATCTTCCAAGTAGCAGTTAGATATCTACAGAAAATATAAAAATTCATACCATGTGCCAACAGGGAATCAGAGAATAACTAATCTTGAGCATTCCACATGATGTAGTGACTAAAGCGTAAAGTCAATGGGGCTGAAAGAAGCCTTGTCTATTTACCTAAAACAAGAAGCAGCCAGGAATAGCTTCTTCATAGTTGAAGATGTCCAGGTCAGGGGCAGGGTGCAAGTGTTCTGTGAACGGACTGCAGATTAACTTTCCTTATATGAAAGCACAGCTGCTACTAAACATCTACATTTGTCTAGCCATTAGCTTTTGATACTCTGAAAGTAGGTAAATATGAAAGCATTTTGTTTCTGAATTGTCTATTAGATTGCACCAGTCACTTACTGAGCATATCATGGGTTAAACTGTAGAAGGATGTTCAGAGTATCCTCTTAAACCTATAGTATTTCTCCCCACCCCCACACCAATGACCCTAGAGATCTCTTCTGAACTAGACGGATTGTGTCTGTGATTGCTCTTTTTTGGAGGAGCTACTGATGCTTCTCCTGTAAAATTAATAGCACTAGGAAACAGCTGCCAAAACGAAAAACATACACTTTGGTGGGGTGGCAGCTGGGTCCCATAGTCTTAAAAATGAAAAGATAAGCAGTCAGTCCCTTAAGCTCAAAGAGAATAGTCCCCCCATGCTCCCTCTGAGGCCTTCATTTACCCTATAGGTGGTCTTTTTCAGGTTCCCTCTCTTGGCTTGAGGTGATTTCAGGGTGGCAAAATCCAGAGTCAATGGTAACTGCAAGAGGGGGATAGAGGTGTCAGTTTTTCTTCCCCTTGTAAACATCCTTTTAGAAAAAGGTGCTGTCAAAACAAATATAGAAGTAAAACCCTCACTCCCCTTTTAATATAAAATTGTTTGTTTAAGAAAAGCTCACAGAAATTTGTTGTGCATGATTTCCCATGATTTAAAGCTCCCCTTTACAACCTTCTCTTTCAAGCAGGATCTTCCCGGATTTCTTCAGCAACTTGAGGTTATTTAAATAAAACAAATCTTCCTGCATAGAGGCCAAGACAGACAAGATATGTGTTGTGTCGAGTAAACAGATACAAGAACATCCTTACTTCAGAACTGCTTTTCGCACTGGGTAATTCTCTCAAAGCTGAAGTTTCTAGAAATGCATCTATTAACTTCAAGATCTACAAGCACATAAAAACTCAGTAAGATCTGGGCTATCATAGTTAGTTCCCCAGCTTCTCATCTGTCCCTGGTGCAGACAACCACAATACACATAATTGCCATTTTAGTGAAATTGTTCTCATGCTCAAGTTTAAACTTAGATGCATGACTTGCTGTCATGACAATCTGCAGAAAGAAACACCTCTGGAGCAAATCTGCCTCCTTGGAACTATCCTGAATGACTCAGTTGAGCTGTCAGCAGTTTGGTCTAGCAGCTGGTTACAAGTGGCATATCCTTGAAGATGGTAATGAGGTTAAAACTATTTTTAAGTCATAAAATTTGAAGAGGACACTATTATGAGGTTCAGCATGGGGAAGATGGCTGATACACTGGAGGAGAGCAGACTGCTTCTTAGTACTCAGGTACCCTGGAGGACCAGGTCAACAACAACCTCCTGATGTTCAAAATTAAAAGTTGCATGCCCAGAGGACAACCACAGAGCAACTGCATGCATTGCAAAGTAGAGGCCAGCTACAGACTGGTCTGGCAGCTGAGGAGAACCCAAGGGCATAGCTAGAAAGCAAGCTGAGAAGGGCAGCCACGTGCCCTTGCTCCTGCAATAGTTACGTGCCTACAGGACTGCAAAGAGTGAGAACAACCAATGGACCAAAATGAACCAAGGAAGTGACAAAGATTTACACCAGCTGCTCATATAACCATAAAGACGAGAGATTTCCATCAGATTTACCACTTGAACTAACCTTCATCTACTATGCTAAAGGGTAGAAAGTAAGCAAAAGTAACAGGAGTGACTACATTGAAGTTTAAATAAAAGATAACTACTATTTCTGATAAAGTTTGACATAGATTAGGGAGGGCCATAAGTAACAGAAAATTGCTTCTATACAACCTTCATTATTTCTTAGAAACATGCCAAGGCAATGTTCTTAATGAAACCTGATGCCAGACAGGGAAACTCAGCCAGTTTCTCATCTAGATAAGTGCCTCCTTAATATGTAGTATTTGTTTTTTTCATTTTAAGTGGTGTGTGGCAGAACAAGAACTCTATTAGTTACTTAAAAAATAAAGGTGATGCTTAGTAAACAGCGTGGTTTAGGTTGACATCGGCAGGTCACTTCCACTGGCTTCCATGGCAAAAATGGAATAATGCTCCTTTCCCAGAGAAATGATTGTCAAGATTTCCAGACAATTTCAGTCATTCTTCAACATTAAATACTACTTTAAGTTATTTATCATGACTAATTACAACACCAAATTTTCCTTGTAAGGTATTGACAACAAAGCAATATAGGGGATCAATGTTAGCATTGACATAACTACTTTGAAACTAACAAACATACAATAGGTATAAATTATAGTGTACTCCTTACGTGAAGAAAATAAAAGACTAGGACCTAACTTATTCCCTGCATAGATTATAAGACTGGAGATCAAGTCTTACCAGATCTTCATGTAACACACTCTCACCAGTCAAGACAGAAGTGTCAATGGGCTTTCACCACATTTTCTTTTAAAGTTAAAGCAAACAAATATTCCAGAAGGCAGTTACCTTAATAAGTAGTGAGAGAATACATTACTATGGCAAGAGACATGTGGCAAGCTATCACCTCTCTCTCCAGTTTTAGGGGAGAGAAGGGAATGACAGGAAAAGGGCAGAAGTTTCATACATTTGCATCCAATTGCAGCAAGATTTTTTAAAAAGCTAAATATCAACATGGCATTTCTGAGAACAACCCATGGACAAAATTCAGGGGGGAGGGGGAAAAAGTTCCATTATAAAATCTTGCAACTCAAACAAGAATTATATTAGATTTATTTTTCATATATTGTTATTTTCTCTTATTCTCTCTTCCATTCACATTTGCTTGCAGGTATGGAAACTAAGTTTTAATTGTGACACTTTTTAATTGTGGACTTTTTTGGTAATGGAGCTGGTCTGAAATCAGTGTTATTTTTCCCTCCCAGTACTAAAATAAAATAAATAAATAAAAAGCACTAGGATAAGTTTCAGGATCAGATCTTTTATTCTGCTGCTTCCTAGCCCCTGCTTCCCTCCTTCAGCAAAGAATCATTAACTAGCTGCTAGTGTTGAAGTTTTGATCTTGGATAAAAACAACAAAAAAGAAATTAGGTAGAGAAGTCCTGAAGTGTCACAATAATGAGAGCACAACATTAGCCTATGTAAAGGTAAGCCTTGAAGTTCAAACTATTGATCTACATAAATCCACTGCCAGAAAACCGTGCTGAGAGGCTGAACAGAGGCTCTATGCTCCAGCCCCAAAGCTGCAAAGGGCACAAGGACAGAACATGGAGTGGCACCTCACGGAAAGGAAACACAACAGGGTTTCTTCCTTCCATATTTTCATATTCACAGCCCATTTTGCCTATAGAAAGAGAATCAGTGCTGTAACAGTGGTAAAATATAACATGATCCTACATTAGTTACAGCTAATCACAAGTAGCTACCTCATGAGTATAGGACTCTGATATTATCCTTGTTATTCTCATTGTTGTTTAAATAGATGAGTAAAGACTTTATTAAGAAGTCAAAACAAAGCTTAAATTCCCTTATATACACTAGAAAACCAAGCTATGGGCTAGAAATAGGAGGTCTGGTTTTCTTATTTGTTTTTACTCCCTATTTATTTCTTGATCTCAATTCAATCATTTCACAGCACTGCGCAGAAGAATTATCTATTCATTTTTTAAGAAGTACAGTTTGAGGTGCCCTACGGTGAACTCCACGGTAATTTGACATGTAACTTCAAGCTTGCAAGACTAAGAAAATAGATGAAGCAAGCAAGATAAAGAACTTAAGTGGACACAAATGAAAGGAAGTACTTTTATTTAGTGACAAGAACTGTAATAAGCTTGATTCAGCATTTATTCAGCCTGCATATTCTAATTACAATTTTTTCAGAGATTTGTTGCAAATGCACATCTGGACTTTGTCCATTCAACCTCATTGTTACTTGTCCTGCTATTTATTCCAAGTTTATTTTCACATAGCTCTGTAGAGCATTTCCTCTTCCCAAGGGAGTTGTTCCTACCAGATGGTATTTACATGTACACACCATGCTTAGATTTCAGTAGTTTTTCCACAACTCTGTTTTTAAGAATCAGACTGAATTTAAATATTACCACACAGTCATGTTCCTGTTAGGGGATTCTGAAGGAAAAGATGAAACAAAATAACCGCTGTATATTTTTCTTATTAGAACACTATGACTACCTCTCAGAAAGGAAAGAGCTGTTCTAGTGTTCCATATGTCACTTGTGATGATACTTTTAGATCTGTTAAGCTTCTATCCCAGGACATCGTACCTTACCTTCTTGCCCCTAGAAAACATCTTTCAGTTGCATGAGAATATACCTTTCAGGATCTCAAAATTAAAGGGGTCAAACTTGCATGGTATTTCTTTTGAGACTGTGAACATAGATACACAGGCTGGAAGAATTTTTTTTTTCCTAAAGAGTTTAAAAAAGTCAATGTAAATTAGAATATCAATTAATTCTGTTAATACATCTCAAAGCTTAGCTTCATTAAAAATTAGTTACTGTAAATATGCTACCCTGGAGAAGAGAAGGGGTTTTCTTTAGAAGAGAAATGCAAGAAGTATTTTTAGCAATAAATTGAGATGGTTCAGCTGCTGGATTTTCTTTTCTTCTTTTTAAATTCATCTTATATATGTCCTGCCAAGTATCTAAGAAGATTTATCTTGCATCACTTTCATGTAATGATTCAGGGATATAAACTTATAGTTACATTGGTTATTAATTAAAAACTAGGTATACTGGAATGTAATTTAATAGGGCCTAAGCCCAATTCAGCTCCTGGCTACACAGAATATTCCAAACATATTTTATGCTTCATTTTAAAGCTGGTATTTCTTCATCCTATCAGTTTCCTTCTTAGGTTGGAGTCATACACAATGCAAGAAATATTGTTGCCTTACTTATATGTGTTATATAAGTAAGTTGCCTTACTTATATCTGTTGAGCCCCGGCTGGACAGTGCTATTGCCCAGTGAAGTGTGAACGTGTCACTACCATCCTGGTAGACACATTTTAAGAGAAGGCAGTCAAAATGTTAACCATTTGTATTAAACATCTTTGAAAGGCCACTCAATGAAAATGAACTAGAAGAACCATCTATACAGACCATAACAACAAGCATCAAATACACTTGGACATACTCCAGCAGCACAAAGGACTTAAAAAGTTACATAGACATTAAAATGCCCTTTTAAAGTACTAAGACAAGGTTTAAGAAACAAACCATGAAAAATTTATTGTTATGCCCAGCCCTGCTATAGCCCCTTATCTTCATTTCCATAGAACAGTTTAAATCCTCAAGTCCTGTACGTAGTGGAAAACAACAGTGACACACAGTGCTTGATACACTCTCTGTAATCAGTAATCCTTGTGTCAGGACACAAAGAGCATTTTCAAGACACCCACTGACACCTGACAGATACACTAACTGAAATACAAGGGTAGACAGTACCTGACACTCCAGTTCCCAGAAATAGATCCCATACAGAGCAATCACACAGTTGTCATTTTCACAGCACCCCTTCTTAAAGCATTTATTTACAGCTATTGGACACAATCACCATTGCAACAAAAACAAACAAACAAAAAAACAACAATGTTAATATATGAAAGATTCTAAGGTGCCATTAATAATGCAGGACATACTCTGATCCTGTTAATCTTTCGATATTGACCAGGCAGCTTTGTTACTTGAACACCAACCTAATCATCATTTGATGGCCAACTACCACCAGTTACATCAAACTAAACCTGACAATTCTGAGTGTTAAATAACACATACACAAGCAATTGCTACTTAAAATGGACAATATTCTGGCAAATTCTTTAGAAATCTATATTTGAAGTATGAAGGAATATAAACCAAGCTCACCTCAGCATCCCACCCCTGAAAGTTTCTTGTTTCTGACCAAAAGTGTAGAACGCCTAGTAGAATTCAGGGCAGAAATGTAGATCTTCCTCTGCAGCACCAGACAAGAAAGTCCTCTTCTATATTGTCACTTCAGTGTTCTGTTCCATTAGTAGTGCTTTTATAGAAAGAAGCTGATGATAAAAACAGTGTGGCCCACCTCTCTTCCCTTAAGAACTGCTACACCTGCAGTTATACCTAAGGATGAAGTTAAAGTTGGAATGATTACAACCAACATCAAAATATAGGTTTGTATTTTCCATCCTCACCAGAAACAAGAAAAGCAACTCTTAGGAGAACAGTTTCATCATCTTATATCTCTAAAGATGAAGTCATAAATGGCTTTAAAACAATTTTTTCTTCTAACAACGCAATGCTTGTTTCTTGCATTTCAATTGGCATCACTTCATGCTGTTGTGTTCTACAGAACAATAGAGCTGGTTGTAGAAATGAGATGAGTCACAAATAACACGTGACTTGGGGTATGTAAGGCAGAACTGACTATATCATTTTGTTTCAGCTGCCAAAAGGGGACAACAAAATCATGTTTGTTTAGTACTTGCATTCAAACTTTTGCTGTTGATCTAACTATATTTTGAGCAACATACACCTTTTATTTTTAAAGAGGACATTATATTAACATGCAAAATTGCTTGTAACTATCAGTACTAACTTTCCGTTTTTATAGCTTCAATGCTTGCATTATAGAAGACACTGGCCATGTATTACTAGTCATCTCGTAATATGAAAGTGAGAAATCTCCCTGCTAGATCACTGGGTAAAGATTAGTTCTTCCATGTAAAAACAAGCTTGTTGTTAATACAAGACAGTTTTGTGATTCTAAACAATTACTCTCAGACTGAAGCCACATTTCTCCTTCTGTCCTAGAAGAAAGATCAATATGTACCTACATAGATGGGCAGATGAGTGGAAAGCCTGTTTCTATTGAATTTCCTTCCTTAATGATCTTCCTATCTTTGTCAGTAAGTCATCGAGGAAATAAGTTACAGCTAAATAATTTGAGTACTTGTCCTCATCTGTTGTGGTTAAAAGGTTAACCATCGTCTTCCAAATATTTCTAGGCTCACTCTTCTGAAGTGAGAGCACATTCCTATTACACAGTGGCATCCTGGGGCATTCCCACCCATTAAGTTCTGGGTTAGGAAAAAACATTTTCCTCCAACTACTACACTGTAAGACAAGTACTCTGGTTCCTGGTTCAAGAGAAGGGAAACAAGCCTTTCAAGCAGAACTTAAATAACCAAATGGAAACTCATGGTGCCAGTCAGGTCATGCCCATGACTTACTCCTGCAATTGAGATTTCAATCCCACATTCAAGAAACTGTGAGCAACAGTTCTCACAACTGTTTCTTCCATTGCTACCTGATTAATGTATGTTTCATTAAAATACTTCTGAAATTGAATGCTAAAAAGTAAGAAGGAGTGCAGGTATGCTTTTTACTCAAAGAATTTTAGCATGGTGTTTTTATGTCAAAGCATAGGTGGTCTCACACCAGAACATTCACAGAACATCTCTGGCAGTTCGTTCAACTGACTTGATGTTTGTACAAGTCTTCACCCAATCCTAGTTAAAAAAAGAAAAGGTAACCATGCAGAAGAGTATGCTGTACCAGATGTCATCTAGAAATTAGATATCATCATCATCCTATCATATTGGCAATATCAGAAGTGATTTTCTAACTTCATAATCTTTCTTTGGCCAAAATAAAGAAGTTTTTGAAGTTATCAAAAGTCAAGATTGTTTTCATTGTGGAGTAATAATGTAGAACACAATTGTCCATCATGCAGGTGTAAATGCACACCTGAATGGCATTCAGTACAAGCTGCCCAAATTGTGGCAGTGAAGAGAACTTCACACCTCCTGCTGTGAAATACAGCAGTAAGACATTAAGCTAGTCTGTCACATTTTGCAGGCTACAGTCTAGAAGCATCCAGATAGAGTTACTGCAGTTCAGCAGGTGGATGCTTACTATACAGCTTTAATGCAATTCTGTAAGACTGTAAGGCCATTTCTAAGCTGTCATTAAGAACATACATAAACAATACTTTATTTTATCCACCATGCGCAGTCTATACATATAAGTATTTGTATTTTTCATTACTACAAAGCTTAGCCCCAGAAAATTTCACAAATGGCCAAATTGAATAATCTAGAACAAAACAGTTTAGTCAGATCCATATGTATGTATAGTCCAGGAGACCAATAAAAAGGATTATTTCTACTGAAGTTTGTTATGTTATCACTTTCAGCAGTTACAGGTTACATTTACAGCAGTTACAGTTTCAGCAGTTACCTATGACTTGACTGTATTCTATGGAAATGAGTGCTTCCAAGAGATTTTCCTGCATATGGAATTTGTAGTAGGGATTCATTACAGAAGGCTTTGGAAAACCTTTTCCTGCAAGACATTTTGTTCAGTAACTTAAGAAGCCTCACAAGTAAAATAACTCCATTTAGGTTGGCAATTCACATCAGACATTATTCTGATCAAGTGTTATTACATACATTTTATTCTACTAGGACCCTGGAAACTGAAAGACATCAGAAGACTTAATATTTCTTAACTGAGGAAGTATAGTAGTTCATAAAATACTATTTCTTTTCTGGCCACCTCAGTATTACATTAATAATTGATACAAACACTGAAAGCTATGAAGCTCTAGGTTGTGATTACTTAATAAAGGCTCAGAGATTTTATTGAGTTACAAAAGAGCACTGAAGTATGCAAGCTTGAATCAGCTGGGAACTATTAGGCCCCTCTCCACAGTTTCTCTAGACAGTTCTCCCCTCTAGGTAAGATTAAGTTAATTAAATAGATATGAACTGTAAGAGCCTATTTGTTTGCAAACACTATTATTTAAGAGAAGAGCTAGATGCCCAAACTTCTTCAGAAGTGTTTTAGTAATTAATTCATGTTTGTTTTAATTCTTAAGCATTTCCTGTAACAGCACTCCAGTGAAAAAGACACTTCACCTACATTTGACACCTAAGAAATAGCAGATCACATTTTCAATTCTCACCTTCTCTGGCCAACAGCAGAGTTGCAGACAAACCAGGAAGAGCCTAAATTTCCAAATACCAGGTCTCCACCACATCAGGGGAGAAGTACTTAATAATGTAATTTTGCATATTATTTCCCTGTGAATATGTAAACTGTACCTTCTGGTTATTGAGGACTATGTAAAAACAAAAAAAAATATGCGATTTTGGTATGAAGACCTGTACTTTTGCACTGCCTAGGAGCAGGGACAGAATTGTGTTGTACCAGAGGATGAATCAGAAACAGCTCCTGACTCTTCAGGTGGACAGAAAGATAAAAGGAGAGAAAAATCTCCTTTCTCCCCAAATCAATAGATTTAATCACGTCCACCTTCCCTACGTTTCGCACACCATTTGAGAGAAACTCATAATATTAGTGGCATGGATATGTCAACGGCTGAATCAACTCTTGTGTTGAGTGTACCACAATAAAACTAGAACAAACAGTGCCACCGAGTGGCAGTATTGCTACAACACACTTCTCAGAGTCCCTATTAGAAACATCTTGCAACAGCCCATTTCTAAGAGGTGTAATTAATATTTAAATCAGCATAAGTAAAACAGCAGCACTAATTTTGGTCTTACTTGCGTTTGAACCTTCAATGTTTCATTGGAAAGTGTTCTTAAGGGAGGTTAGAAGAATTAACAAACCATGGTTCAGGTTAGGAACAAGCTTAAGTAGTGACTTTAAAAACACCCTAACAGAAAGCCCAGCCAGTATTTAGAACATTTATCAAACAGTCTCTTCTGAACACATAACATCACTAATGTCATGGAAAAGCTATTTTTTGTGGTAAAAAAGAAAAAAAAAAGAATACATGTAAGCCACTTGAATGTTCCATCAGATCCTGCTTGCCCTCTCAGAAAGTTACCAGTGAGCTAAAGTTCTTGAAATTGTAATTACTTTGCTTAAGTTCTCTCTCCCTTTCAGTCCTGGAGAAAACTCTTCTCCAAATGACACCACTATTGTGAAGTCGACACCACTACTGCTCTCAGCTTGGTCTTAAAACACACAAACTGAGCTACCTTACAAAGACAGTCCTATTCTTTAAGCAGTTATCTATGAAATGAGACAAAAGTTCACTATTTTTAGTCTAGTTTCTTTCTAGTAAATACTCCAGAGTTAACTGCTTTAGTCTTCTGTCAGGTACCTAGCCAGTGTGACAAATACCACATGCCATATTTATAGCCTGAGATCTCCTAGAACATAACACCCAGGTGGGTAGTTAGTGACCTCAAGACAGAAGAATAGCTTGTACTTCCTAGGACTGCAGCATCATACTGTGCCTAAGGAATGGTAACACATAGGGGATTTTTATTAATTCACAGCACAGGAGTTAAAAAGGGTTTATTCATGCAGTCCACAGGTCTTCGACAGGATATTTTCTTGGTATTTCACAGTATGTACACAGCTGAATTTTGACAATGTTGAGAAAACTACATTTGCTAGTGATGGATCTGCTCTTCTTCCCCCAGTATCACCATATTTGCTAGCTGCAAGCTATGAATTTTTATCTGTGTTTTCTAGAGGGCATACACACAAGTTATTTTAAGGAAAGCACAAGAACCAGGCTAGAAAGAATACTTCACCAATGCTTTTCTGAACACCAAATGGGACAAGGGAGGAAAATGAAAGGTCAAATAGATTAACAAAAGTGTGGTATTAGCAGATATGACAAGTTTCCAGAGTGAAGCCAAAGACGATTTCATATTGTTTGATGGGATGCTCTGCTTTCAGTATTTGTCAACGGAAGCCAAGACACCTAGATTACCTTTAGAGTCTTCATACACTGCATGAAACAGAATATTTTAGGTCCAACCAGCTATAGGTCCATAGAGTCATTATTTCTCTGCAGTGCTATTTTCTCTGATGGATCGGAAGGCTATATGTTGCCTAGACCTGTGTTTCTGTAACTTAACCAGAAGCGACATTATGAAGAGAATCTGATTTTACCCTGCTTCTTCCAGGTTTCTGTTGTTCAAGAAACACACAGAAGAAAACCTTAAATTGGCTCATACAGGCAGTCTCCCCCCAACTTCTGTGCTTAATCCTCACTGTCGTATCATTTTGTCATGCAAGGGAGCTGTCAAGCCAGATACCACTAGCAGAAGGGACAACATTGTTGTTCAGGAATGATGATATAAAGTGTATTCTAACAACTACAGTGAAATGTTGCTAATGAGAACTCAGTAAGAATGTTGACTGCTTCTAAATTCTAGAGTTATTTTCTCTTTTACACTAATACTATGCATTGCAAATAGATCTCTTAGCATTCAAATTAGCATCTACTAGAGTACAATCATTAAGATGCTTGTGTTGACAATGGTATTTTCATAAAAGCACTTGGTGTAGAGATCAGTTTGCACAGTACTTCTGAAAATATTAGAAGTCTAGCAATTCTAGAAAGTTATCTAAAATGAGCTACACATGCTCTGCATAAGAGACTTGTCAAACTTCATTTATATGTTAAGCAAACGATCTCTTCATGAAAGAGATAAAATGACACTGAAGACTTCCCTGATTTTTATTTATTTATTTTTAAAACAGAATCTTCTCTGAATAATAAGGTTAAAGCTTCCAGGGTAACAGTTCTTCACAAAGAAGAACTATTTATTTTTTTATTTCTTCTCAGGTGTTTCAATGCCTATAGGTACAAATTCATTCATCTCCAAAATCCATGCCATAAAAGCTTCACATATTTTGTTATTAAGAAATCACACCACAAGGTCCATGCACATGATAAGACAATCATTTTGCACTGAACTTCTCATCCCTTAGTTTTTGCAAAACAGATACCCAAAATTAATCATACCATATGGGCCAGCTGTTTCCTATCTTTTTCCTATCTGTATTCTCCACGTACACATGGAAAGACTTGTGCCTATTATGCATAAAGAGTTCTATTTTGTCCCAAACTTCATCCTCTTTGGAACATTTCTCACAGCAGATTACACAGTGGGAAGCCAGCTGGAAGCAACCAGAATTAAGTTTGACCTCCCAGCCCCTTACAGATTTCCCATGACTTTTCTGCTATACTAAAGTTTGCTTCTTTTACACAAACCAGCATCAATTTTGGATAACTGTCAACACTATAGCACCAGAACATAGATCACAGAAAACCATTAATAAAGAGCTGATAGAAATATATTCAATATTACACCTTCAGCTGACTTTAAGAGGTTATCATCTCATATCTATAAAATCTTTATTACCAACTAAAACATTAAAAGAAATACTTATACCTACTTTTGTAACAGCACTTGTGAAATAACTTTACTTATTTCTACAACCATCAGGAACAGCATTAAGAGATGTGATGATGCAGTTCAGTTCCGTGGCAACTCTTTCACATGGTAAAGTCAAAAACTCAAGCATCATTCAGCCCTAAACTACAAGCTTCAAAATTTGGTTATGATTAACATAAGCATGAACACAATTCCTTTTTAGCAAAATGAAGGGAAATACATTATGTGCATGAAATATATTGATTTACTTATGGAATAGCAATATTCTTTTAATTCTTATTCACTTACACTAAGAGCAATACATTTTTCTCAAAAACTAGGAAAACTAATCTTGCAAGAAGGATCTCCATTTATTTTTTTCCTCACCCAACTTCTTGCTAGCTTAAAAAATATGAATAGACTATGGAGTACCACAGTTGTATAGCATGAGTTTATGACTAGTTTTTCCTAGCAATCCTGTCTACTCATTACTTGTAACCCAATGTTTTAGTAGGAGTAGAGGCTTCTTCTCAAGAACAGCCCTTCTTGTCTGGCTTCACCTGCTTTACATTACCCAAAAAACAGGTGCTGCTTTAACTAAGTACTTACTGCTTGCAAACTAGCTCAGCAGCAATTTGAGAGTAGAGGAGGAGGAAACCTAAATTTGCATTCTCCCCTACTCCTTCCCACCCCAACAGAATATTTACAGACCCTCAGTCTCCTTACAGTTTTAATCATTTCACCAGTTTTCAGGAGTAAAAATTGATATTCACTTGTGGACAGCAGAATGCAGTGGGCGCTACCTTACCTTAAAAGGGTAAGGATACAATTGTGGTTTGATTTTGGCTAAGAATCGCCTAGAAGATGCAACAAGAGGAGGCATCCACAGAGCAGAGCTACTAGCATTATTGCAGATAATATAGGGAAATAAAATTAAGTAAACATGCTTCTCTGAAAGTTCAAGACCATGGTTGGGGTTCATTATTTCATCCTCTCTACGCACTTACAGAGTAAACATCTTAAGAACCTTTAATGTTATTCTTGTAACATAATAAAAGACACACATTTTAGCAGCTTTTATAGCAAATGCATCTAGGTTCACGAAAGGTAAACTTACCATATCTGTCATGATAGCTGGACATTGCAAATCCAAACTCTTCCCTTAGCAGCCACTCATTAACAACTATTTTCTTCCCTTGTTGTCTGTGGAACCATCACTGACTTCTGATGCAACATTTTTTTTGCATGCAGGAAGTGTGAAGTTTCACACCAGCTCTTCAACCTTGGGTACAGAGTTCAGTAACTTCATTTCACTCTCCTCAGAGTCCTCAAGAACTTGAATTTTCCTAGCATCTAGAACTAGAATCCAAGCCTGAGTTCAGACTCAGAGACACCTTCACAATCAAGATTAATCCTCCCATAATAAGCCTTGCAGTTTCTCTGAACTACATCTAGGAAGAGCACCTGTTCAGAAACATCTCTTTATATGACCTTATCACTAGCACAAACATTACCACTGTCCCTATAACCTTCTCTAACATCAAAAACAAAAATAATATAACTAACTAACCAACCACTCTCTCCACAACACTAAGACCTCCTATGGGGACTCAAAACTTCACTTCCTACAAAAGCCCTTTTTTAATAACCAGTCACAGCTGCGACTGACCTTTAATTGCCCCTGGCAGGTCTCCAGGTGCTAGGAGCTCACTATTTTTTAATTTGTTTTGTGTGTCTGGTTAACTCTTCTAAGTTCAGGGATGGTTGTATCTTCCTCTCTCAAGGATTTATAAGCAAATCCTGTTTTTTTGCTTCCAGCCTGAATAGAGAAATAATTTTGTGAAGAGAATATATTTGAAAAAAAAATTGCAACACAATTACAGAAAATTAAAGTAGAAAGTATTGAACACCAAAAATTTTGCAGAACATAAGGAAAAAAAGGCTTCTATTTTTGAACACCAAAAATTTTGCAGAACATAAGGAAAAAAAGGCTTCTATTTTTTTAATATTAACTGTCTTGAAAAAAGAAAGATATGCCTGTAATCTACATAAGCGTGTTCCAGAAATTCAGGCATGGTTTAAAATCTGAAGCAAGCAAATAGAAAAATATCTTTATGAAACAATATGAATAATTCCTCTGTAAAATAATTTAAGTGGTGGAAATTACTCTAGAGAATAAGGCCACATTTTAACATGAAATTATTAGTTACCGGTTATTTTCATAAAATAAGTTGCCATGTTAGCATTTGTTTTGCTTTGTTTTGGCTAGTGGATAATATCTTCTTTATCACCTATTTTATACTGCCTAATTTTATAGATTTCAGAAGGGCTATTTTTGTTTTGCCCTATTCTAAATGTGGTCTGAATCCTGCTTTTTTTTTTTTTTCTCTCTTTTTTTTTTTTCACTCAGTTGTACACTTTTCTTTTGCTTTTCTCTTGCTCTCAGCCCATTAGATCAGACATCTCTTTTCACTCACAGAAAAAGAAAACATCTTTCCGTGTTTGATTTTCTCATTGTCAATTTAATAAAAGTTGTATCTACATCTTTCCTGATATAAGAAATGGAATGGTTGTTCTACTAAATTTCTTTTATATATCTTCTCTATTCATTGCTGATTTTTCAGTACTCCATTATTAGTGCAATACTTGATATTTGGTACAAGGCCAAGCTAAAATGTGTGCCAGTATTGTATTAGTTTTTTTTTTTTTTTTTTTTTTTTTAATCTTTGGCTAATGATCTTCTTAATGATTAATTGACTCAGAATCCCCTTCAGTATTATGGCCTATGTACAAGTAGATCCAGTAGAACAAGTAAAATGAAAGCTCTGGACACCTGCCTGTAGACCCAGTGAAATAACTGAAACATTTAATTTCTTCTGCCATTCATCATCATCCACCAGCCTGCCTTGAATATAACAAATCAGGCTATTGCTTCTTGCATTGATTTTTTTTTTCTAACTAAAGCATTTTTTCTCCTGTTGTGTGTAGCAAAATCAAACAAAAACCCTACTGCATCTGATCTGCCTAGTAATTCCCAATTGTAGTAGTTCTGATTGTAGTTCCCAATTCTCATCAAAGATCCATTCAGAGCTCTGCAGTGCTTCTCTTCATTTACGTTAATGCGCTATATCTACACTGTCACTATTATGCTGAGTTCCACCATCAACTGTGCTAGCTCCGCACCTTCACATGAACATGAATTTGTGCACCAGGGAGACCAGACCTTCCTTGTTCTTGTCAAGCACATTTATTACCTTCTGGCATACTGTTATAGCAAATGTAGCTTGCAATGACAGGGACTTTTAGGTCTGTACTTAAACGTTGATGACATAACAGAATGAAAACCCCAACATATTAGTCCTTTTCACCATACTAGCAAAGACTATGGGAATAAAATATAAAAAAGGACTGAGGAATTATCAATGAAGTCTGCACTTCGCACTCAGGAATCCTGAATTTTTGTATTGTTTCAAGGAAATCTGAAGTCATCTATTCAACCTGGAACTACATCATGTTTGGATCAGGTGACAGGATTCATCTTGGGACTGGCTGCTCTTCAGAAGATTGTGGGAACAATTTCAGCCAGCTGTCTGCACCAGCAGTTCTGTCTCATGTGAGAAAAAATATTTCCCTTTTTCTCCTCAGGGAATCCTAAGAATTTCCTTGGATATTTACAACAGATGTTGTAAGTATTAATGACTGATATCAATGGAAAGAAAAAAGAAGACTACAAATATACATGAATATCTACAGTACAGCAAACTAAAACTATTCAAGCATTCTCTTTCATTAATAAATAAATAAATAAATAAATCCTGGAATTCACTTGCTGAAATGTTTTTGGTTTTGTTTTTGTTTTTCTGATAACAAACATGAAAAGAAGTTGCAGGGTCTTATTTAGTTGTTCCTAAATGTTTTAGATTCAATTTTTGAAAAGCCTGGAAAAGCCTGGAATTGTCTTCTAGAAGAATTTGAATGCTATTGTGTCTCTCAAAAATACACAGTAAAATCATACTACCTCAAAACACTGTGAAAGATAAAAATGGCTATATACGTGGCTGACATGTAAGGTATGTTCCCTAATAGATTGTCTCTATACATGTCTGATTATGTGAGGAAAATTGATACTAATTACTACTAACGTCACAGGCATTACCTCTTACACTTGACTAACAGTAAATATCAAGGAGCTAGAGGAAACATACAAATAGAGAATAAAACATGCAGTTTATATTTTTTTACCTCCTTGTCGTTGTCTCTTGGTCTTCATCTCTTCTTCCTGTGAAGAAAAAGAAAAGATCTAAGCTGTGCAGTAAATTCTTCTGAAATAGAGTTGTTTGTGAGAGAGTACCTTTATCACTGAGCTATGTCGCAGACCTTTTTAGTCTCTCCTGAGTATACTTCATAGGTGGTTATACTAGTTTCTAGATGAAATTCTGTTGTTCAGCAACTTCAATGTGAGAAATGCAGCCCATTTTCATGCTGATCCACACTCACAGGATATTTGGTACCTATTTAGGATGTCAACATTAGGAAGAGTGAAGCATGCAGGTTTGCAAAGGCTTGTCTGCTCTTCCTAACCAATGGCACAGCCACTGTCGCAATGATTTCTCAGAAGCCGCTTATCCATCTTTACTGCATTTCTCCAGACATTTGTTTTCTATTAGCTGTCTTCTTAGACTTGTATCCTGATGGTCATATTCATTTGTGTTAAACAGACAAACTGATGGGGAATATGACATTTATAAAAGTGGTATCCATAACTACTGAATTCTTCAAACTCCCCTACAAAATCACTTTAGTAATTACAACTCAAGACTCTTTTACTTCTCCATTTCCTTTGCATGGCAATATAAAGAATGATTTACTTCATTTTTGTGGTTCTACCTGTTGATGTTCCTTCTGCTGCCTTTATTTGTCAAACTCTTCACAATTCTGCTTTGCAGAGTTGAAAATATCTTGTTGTTTCCTGCAAATGCCTGCGTTTTCTGCAATACTGTTTGTTATTCTACTGACTTGTTCTTTCAGGCTGTTATATTTAAGACTGATGAGGCATTCAGTCTCAGGCAAGAAGCTTTTAAAAAGTACACTGAGTTGTACAGATAAATTAATTACCACAATTATGCTTGTATATATTTAGGAACGATTGTTGACTTTCCCCCCTAAGCACATTGTCTTTAATCAAAGACTGCAGAGGTAAAAATAATCAATTACTTGCTACCTACTTCTACTAAAAATATCCACATTTTTCAGACAAGTTAGCTGACTATGAGATAATTAATTGTGCTCACAACAGGTAAGCAGATACAAGCCACAAACTCACATTGGAAGAGGAAGTTTATGGTAATTTCAGATGTTTCCTCAAATGTGAAAAAAATGCTTATAAAGTAAGAAGTTCATAGAATTAGAGTTTGTTTGCATGCCTAGATTGCTAGCTGCTTTTTAATTTGCAGCAAGCACAGCTATGTCCCTGAATGTGACTGCCATCACAACTCTAAAGGCATGTCTCTGCTACATAGTTTAAGTAAAATTAGAACATCAGGCTATTTAAATATTAGCATGAAAATAAGATTATTTCAGGGGTTACTCTGTGTTACTGCTTCTGGGCTGTCTGAAACTTGTCTGGGAACTTCTGCTGCAAACTGCAGTGTCAACATGCCTTTAGTATGGAAAACGCTAAGAATTTCAAGGAAACACTAAGAATTTCAAGGAAAAAGGTGTATTTAACAAAACAAAAGCAAACAAAACCTCTGGGCAGCAATAAAGGATACTTGCTTAAATATTATTACAACTGTAAATTGTAAATTTGTCCCCAGATCTGTAAATCTGGTCCCTGGATCTGGTCCCCGGATCTGGTCTCCAGAATTTTTTCACCAGGAACACAATTCAACAGAGCAGTCAACTGTTTCTTTAGCTTTGAGGATGCTGAAATGGTCCCTGGCTTGAAAAAAAAAAACAGCTCCTAGCCTGTCTCTAAAAATAGTTGCTTAGGGCTAAAATCTGAGTTCTCTCTGTTACGTGACATCCAGAGAGACTCATCCTCCCTTCTCAGTTGAATTCGGTGCTGCCTAGTCTCAAGATTTCCAGTACTCAGCTGGAAATTGGAGAGGAAAATGTTCATGTATACATAAGAACTGTACTCAAATGGCTGATTACACTTTTTCTTACAACTTAACCAATGCTTACACCTTTTAACTTTAAACCTGAGAAGCAAGAGGACGTTTCTATGTTTCCCCTGGGGATAGTGTACTCTTCTGTGTTTTCCTTCTATAAAAACAGTTCAAAATTTTAGTCATGTTGTCAGTCACACAGCCAAACAACCTTGCATGGCATTACCTGTTTCCCCCCAGATAGATCAAGCCCTGAATGAAAGACCAGACAAGTAAATAATGCCAACATGCAAAACTAACTTGTAAGTACGTTACTTTTTGGCATTTTTTTTGGCAGCTTGTGGGGCTTAACTGTACTTCAGTGAGAAGAATGTCTTCTGGTGTGAACTGAAATTACACCTCTATGCCACAATGTCTTTTTTTTTTTTTTTTTTTTTTTTTTTTTTGGGAGGGGGGGATTCCTTGTGGACACCTGAAGGAGTTGCAAAATAATAATAAAATAATAAAATTTAGGTAAAGGAAAAGTACC